TTGCAATTTTCCCTTGTTATTTCATGTAGGTTATTATTATTATTATTATTATTATTATTATTATTATTATTATTATTATTATTATTATATTTTATTTTACTTTATTTTTGAAAAACGTTTCTGCAACTTATCAAGTAAGTCACCAAAGTTTGTCAAATTTTCTAGATAATTTTTTTTATAGTGCTAATCGTTCAAGTTTATAATGATGATATTAATGGTTGTTCATTTGGAAACATTAACCTAAAACTATACATGATATTGTTAAATTCCAATGTGAACACAAAGGGCATAATTTATATGTTACGTCAAAGACAAATTAATTTTGATTGCAGTTAATGGTGTAATTGTTAAACACGAATTCTCCATCTTTGTTCGATTATAATAAGTAATCAATGAAACTTTGCATTATCATGGCAAAACGTATAAGGTGGGACATTTTTTCTTTCAAGTGGAGTATTACTGAACATTGTTTATTATTTATATTGGAATTTTAACGATAACATAATATTTTGGATTTATAATTCAAATTGAGTAACTATTAGCATAATCGTCAGAAACTCGATTGAATGAATGTAAATTCTATAAAAAGTGTAGTTAAAAAATTCAAAGAAATTGCAAATCCTAATTAATTGAAAATTTGATAAAAACAAACTTATCCTCAACTTTTACCAACAAAAATGATTTATTCTTACTTATTTAGATGTAATTTAATTTTGAAAAAATTGCAACAATGGTCCCTAACCTTTTCAATTTTTGTAAACTTGACCCTAACCATTAATTTGTATCTACAAAAGCCTCCTGACATTTCATAAATATGCAAATAAGAACCAAAGGAAGACCATCCATTTAACCGTTAGTTGACCAAGATTTTGCAAAAAATTGATATTTTGACCATACTAAGCTAGTGCATTTTCGTCAATTCCATGACAACATACATTTTACAATATAATTACAATTATATAATAATGGATAATGAATTCAAAAAAAGATAGAAAAAAACAACCCCAGACCAAAAGGTTATTTTCTTCACCTCACCCTCACCCACACCCACACCAGCACACCCACCTCAAAACAGAACCCAAAAAATTCACAACCGCCGGCTGGTCAATAGGCCATAGCCACCTATCTCACCATAAGTCATAAACCACCACAATCAAACCAAAACCATCACCATCACCATCAAACCATCAAACCCAACCTTTCTACTGGGGAAAATTGCAGCAATTTCGATGGTCGCCCAATCCACATACACATCCCACATAATTAATTGGACAAACAACACCACAAGAAGATCAAAATGAAATTGAAAACCAAAGGAGTCGCATGCCTTAACCCCTCAAATCGCCACCTACAGTCACACCCATGGTTGCGCCTCACTGTCAGTAGTCTCACCCATTCTAGGCGAGCATATTCACGGTGGAACATCATCAAAACAAAAAATAGAGTTGGGTTGCATTATCAGGATTTTGAAATTTTTAATGATGGGTTGGGTGGTTTTCAGGGGCTTTGATGGATGGTTGGGAGAAGGAAATCGACCAAGGTTTGATGATGGGATGATGGTGGAGGAATGTAAAGGTCGTCCCGCGAAGAAGGCGGCGACGACAATGATTTGAGGGAGAAATGTTTGATGATTGGATTATTGTTTGGTATGGGGGAAGAAGATGAAAATGAGGTGAGGTGGGGTAGAGAGGGTTTATTTAGTAGTTTAATTGTTGCTTTTAATTCAAAGTGATAATTTGTTATAGGTATGGTTGGGCAAATCTCTCGAATTGAATTGAACCGATCGAACTGAATCGAATCGAATCGAATCTGACGATTTTTATCAAATTAAATATCCGAACGGGTATCTGAATTGAGAACCGACGGGTACGGTTCGATTCTTAGTTCTAGACCTAGAACCGAAGAATCGAATTTTTCTAATTTTTTTTTTATATTGAGTAAATCAAAATTTTTTAATTTTTTTAAATAAATTAAAAAATTAACAATTTCTAAATCCAAAATTTTGGTCCAATAATTTATTTCATTTCTAATTTTTTAATTTTTGGCCTAATTACCCATTTTATTATTTCATTTCTTAGCCAAGTAAGATTAAATCAACTAAATAACCCTAAACACTAACACCAAAGTGCATAACGTTGTCTCGACTCTCGCAGCCTCGTTAATATTCCAAAACCTATACAATCATCGGTCGACACTGTGACCTCCGATCGAAACTCTGACTTTCGCCAACCGAAGTTTTGATCGTAGCGATCATTTGAACAAGGTAGTTTCCTAATCTCTGACATTCCAAAACCATTGAATATATCATTAGTTGTATTTATATAATGTTGTTATAAATGTTAAAAAATTTAATTATAGTACAGAATCGAACAGAACCGAACCCGAACGGTTCCATAATTATATTTGAACCCGACGATTCCATTTACTAGATACTCGAAAAGTTCGATTCTCTTTAGAACCGAACCGAATCGACCCGCACCCACCCCTAGTTATGGGCTAAAATGCCCCTACTTAAAAATGGTCAAAATATCAATTTTTTGCAAAATCCTGGTCAACTAATAGTCAAATGGATGATTTTCTGTCCATTTGAACCTCGGCTACATATTTATGAAAGGTTAGGGACTTTCGTTAGCACAATTGAAGGTTAGGATAAAATCAAAATAAAAAATTAAAAGGTTAAAAACCGTTGCTGCAATTTTCCCTTTAATTTTTTAAACATAGCCAAACATGCTTGAACTGGTAGTTTAACAACTATCCACTCTCTTCAATATTTTTTACCAAGATCTCTTTTGAAGGTAAAAGTAGCTTTCACATCCAAAAAAGATGCCACTTAACCAGAATTAACAAGACTTCAATCAGAATTAACAAGACTTCAATCAAAAATGAAAGAATTAACATCTGATAGGTGAACTGAAAATTCAATTTAAAGAAGAAAAAAATGTAGAAGTTCTATTAAAATGAGCTCGGATTTGAGTAATTAATGATAGCAAGAAGATGTCGCAATAAATCAGTATAGAAGAACACTAATTGGGCTGGCTTAAGCCTCCTCAGCATTCTTTGTGAAGTCTGAGCAGGTTTGGCAGCCGCAGTCAGAGAAACGGCAAATTTCACATCCAAAACACACACAGGTAGTGCATCCTTTGCACGTTGGAGAGCGAGTGCAGCCCCTGTACACTCTGCGGCTTGCTCGTTCTTCATCATCATCACATGTAATTCTGATGCATTCAAATGTAGAACAATCAATCGCAGTATATTTTATATAGGCCAAAAGACAAAAGTTTTAGGAGATAAAAGTGAAGGATCGACAAACCACTCCTTGCTTTACACATGCTTGATTATTTTGGATTGCTTTACACAAATATTCTTCACTTCATCGGTTCATCACATATTAAAAAATATATATATATGCACTTCTAGGAGCTAGAGAAACCAAAACTTATAGTTTCTGGAAGAAAGAAGCATTTCAATGACTCTATCACCCAATCAATTTTGCTCAACTTAATCCTTCGTCAGGCCACATATCTTCCATGCTAAGTATTCCAGTCTACAAAAATATTGATTCATCACATCTTTTTATACACTAGAAATTTGTGCAGTCTCTCCACTTCATACATGCACCAGGAAAACACAAAAACAGCAACCATTCACAGAAGAAAATCAAAACTACTAGTTTATGATTATAACTTCCAAATTTCGTTGATGATAAACTGGTAAAGAGGAAACACAACATAGGTTAAAGCTAGAAGATGGTAATCGAAGTAGACTATTCCGCAAAGAGAGATGAAAATTTTGAGGGGGAACTATAATTGATCACACCAACAATCTCATGGAAAATATTCTTACATAACTTGCAGGACGCGATCCTAGAGAATTCATTAATAGATAAATTTATCGAAGCTCTGAATTCCAATTAAGAAAATGAAGAAAATAAATTTGGTGACGCACTTTTAGCAGGTGTGTATCAATATTTATTCAGTCCATTCACGACAGAGCCAATCAGAGGAACTAAGAAAAGGTTCCCTGGAAGACACGTTCAATCCTTTGTGTTAATTATGCACGACTCATAAGAAGTCACTTCATGATAAGCTACCATCCAGTGGGTCAAATACACTTATGTTCAATTATAGCACACTCATTTCAGGTCAGTTTAGCTGTGGGTATTAAAAATGATCAGCAAGGAAAACACATTCCCATGAGTTTAAAAGGCAAGGCTACATTGTCTTATAAACTATCTAGACTTTCTAAGGCAGTTCCTGATGTATCATGCGTACAATACCATACTTAGAGGGGATGTTTTCACAGTTATATTTTGCACTGTAATCTGTGTTTAGATGATGGACCTACTTAAAAGTTATAATTGATCATCATTATGTTACAGTTTTTTGACAACTTCACATTTAAAGTAGACGATTCCCATATGCCTTCCCTTTTAACCACGAAAAGGCTTGTACACCAATTTGTTTAGATCAGTGCTTCCTACCTTCATAAATTGTACAAGATATACTTTTGTCATCCGGGAATTACCTCTTTACAAGAACTCTTTTCTCCTTAATTGCTTCATCATGTATAGCCTTTATTGTGGAGCTTAATATATGCTAAAACATTTTATTGCTCCATTTCTCAGAAATAAAATTTCACTCAGTCCTCTATTTAGAATTTCAGATATTGAATTTTAAAACTTCAATCACTTAGACTAGTGGTTCGGCCCAGTGGGTTGATATCAGACATGCAACAATTATAGAGACGCGTGTTTCTTAAAACAGATGGTGACTTCAGACATCTATTTATGCAGCACTTCAGTGCAAGCATCAAATAATTTAAAGATTTTAGGATTGTTTAGTATTCACATAATGAAATTAATCTATTCTCTCTATAGAATTTAAAAGTTTCAATCCATACTTCTGGATAGAATAGAAACACTAAGGCTCTTCGGTTGTCATATATAACAATCTCATCTGTTCATTTGATACATGGATGATACTTGATAGAACTGTAAAATCAGTTTTTTTGAATATGATTCCTCCTCATATTAGTCATCAGCAGCTCACTCATCTGTTGCAGACATATTTCTTTGAGATATGCAAACCGATATATTCATGTAATGACTCGTTAAGAAACCCAATAGCCTTGAAATAAAAACTAGCATGGTACCCAGTTGAACCCCCCCCCCCCCCCCAAAAAAACAAAAAAAAGGAGGATAAAATGACTTCATTTTGGTCTTTTATTATCCAATTGACTATTCATTTGTGTACGCATATGAAAGATAGTAGACTATACAAAACATAATTGTGAATTTTTACAATTAAACCATTGATAATTCAATAAAGCTGCAAGATTCATTTTTTTCCTCTTGCAACTAAAAATGTGTTTAAGAGAATTGAGAACTTTACCTTTTGGTGATGGAGAAGTAGAGCAAAAATAGCATTATAAATGACAAATTTTCTTTATTGACATGGTATAGTGGTCATTATAACGCAATATAAAGGAAAGATATAAAACATCTGAAAATGACGTGATGTCAATATGTTATATGGTATGAGAAGTTCAAGAATAAGGTCAGAACATACTTGTCATAAGGCACATCTGAACACTTCCAATTCGCATTTAACAAAATGTCATGGTAAATTCGGCATTCCTCCTTGGAGCGGAGACGGAACCTGCGCAATTTGTTGCACTGACTGCATCGAATAAGCTCATCACGGTGACAGGGTTTCCCAGTTTGGGACCGGTGAGATCCATTGGCATTTTTTAATGCTTTATTGTAATATTTGAGCAGCGCAGTTTTAAATATTGGAACTTTCTCACCATCAACAATGACCCAAATATTGTTCTTCCATTTCCTGGCAGTTTCTCGTCCAGAATGCTTCTCAAATGCAGCGGGTGTCAATTTGTCTAACAATGCAATTATTTACTCAAAGCTCAGAGAAGTAACCCATCAAGTGAAGAAAAAGAATTACATAATTTAGCAAATACAAAAGTTACAGAATTTAAGATGCATTTGTCTGCAACAATTACTGTTTTTTTCTTGAGCATTTTTAGATGCAACATCAACAAACACATAAGATAGACATTGGAACTTGCAGAACGTACCGGCTAAAGGCAGTCTAATCTGAGCTTCTAATTTCTAGATTTACCACCCTATTAAATAAATCAGATGGCACTTTGTTCAATCAAAATATACACATTTATTTAACACATAACGAGGCATTACATTTATACATGCTTTGAATGATAACAATAACAGAATCTCGACAACTTTAACAACTGTATTTGCTCATTTTAGCTGAATGCTATCCTACTAAGAAGGAGGAGTCATTTGACAAGACTTTTCCAATGTAGCATTCTGCACAAACAAGCCTTAACTTCTAGGTGAGTCATAATCACATCCCAAAACAAAGTTAAAGCATTTCTATATCTTGTCTCAATAATCTATTATTTTGATTCAATAGGTAGGTCCAAGTGAAGCTTATTACCTATTCTACTTTGCCAAGGGAAAGCAAGTATTCAGTTAGATTACATGTCAAAAGATGGACATTCATCAAGAAAAGTAACTCCCAACCAATGAACAAATATTCAGTTAGCTTACCTGTCAAAAGATGGACATTCATCAAGAAAAGTAACCCCCATCCATTGAACCATATGACATGTAAACTAGATACACAACCTAACTTCAAAAACCTTACCCAGGTTTTCACTACTCATATGAGATTGGACAAAACAAGAACACATAAGCAGGCATTATCCTTGACACTAACAATTCCTAAATAAATGGCATAGCTCATATTCAATTTCAAACGACACATATATGTCCTAACTCTACAAAAAACAAGGAAGAAGTATTTCACAAACAAAACTGAAAAATAAAACACCCATTGAGCTCCATAAATGATGACATTAAAATTTCTGACTTCTGCAGAGAGTGCAACAGAACTCTGCATAAAGCACACACAAACAACAAAACCATAACTACAAGCAACGTATAATGCTGTATACTTTCTCTACAGTACATGCTTCGCAGTTTCATTCAAAACTAAAAGATGCACCATTTTAATCAAAAACCACAAGACAATGTCTGAAACCATATAAACAAGGTTTCAGACTGGGAGAACAATGACATATCAATTCATTTAGACAAATCAACATACACTTAACCTGTACAGACCTCCAATCCCTAAAGACATACCCATAAACCGCATCATTTCATGTTTAAACACAATCACATTATACAATCTTCAAACACAGAACAAGCATATCATGCATCCAAGGAGAATAGCCTTAGGCCAAACAACATTGCACGTGATGCTTATGTATCTTCTTCCGTCTTTATATGCGCGTACGCAAATAAACTCGATAAATGATGCGTAGATGAATATATAAAAACCTTCTTGGCAACCAGGAGTGCATTCACAGTGGATTTCAAGATCACCCGAAGCGAAAACCCTAAGCGTTCCAACAGCGTCGCCGTAGGTATGGCTGGTGCACCCACACGTCACCTCCACGTAATCATCGCACCGTTTGAATCCAGTCATGTCTCTTACCTCATCATCGCTGAATAACATTGTAACACCGTTCTCCATATTCTTTCGCTTTCTCACTTCGCTCATTCTCCCCCTACCTCAAACGCCCTCTGTCAAACCCAAAAATCAAAAACAACTTAAAATAAAACAAACCCACATCATAAAAATGCTACAAAAAACAAAAACAGTGTAATAAAACAAAACCACTGTCCGCCGCTTCAGTGCCTTTATCAGTGTGTGCGTGTATATACATTAAGATTGCATATTGGATAAACACTCAGGCAATGTATAAAAAAGTAGAAATGGATGGCTCAGAAGGAAGGATTGGGGGAATTGGCTTAGCAAGCACGCACCTGCCTGCAAAGAGGAGATCTGATAAAGAGAGCGTTATAAAGGAGGGTTTTTTATAACGTCTGCGTGAGAGATAGAAAAGAGAGTTCATTTGGGCTTTTGTTATAGGGGGAACAGATTGAGCTGAGCTGGCGAAAGCTTACAAACATATGTCATCAATTGAATTAAATAGAAAAGGCGTGTGTGGGTAAATTCGAGGACTGTGTTTTTGGGGAAGATCCATCAGATGGAAAGTGGACGAGGTTTTTCAAGACTGTACTTCGCAAATTTTTTAACACTATTGCTTCACTTGGGCACTGTTCATGGATGCTTTTTCTATCCCTTAATTGTACCAAAAACTTGTGTAAAGTGAGTTGAGATGGTCAAATAAAAATATAGTTCGGTTTGAACTTTAGAATAATTTGGTTAAAGTTGGGTCGATACACGTGATTGACATGCTATAGAGACACAATCGTTCGATCTCACGATGAATTCTTCATATTCCTCTAGCCATAAACTATATGATAAACTTTATTACAATGCAGCATATGGGAGTAGGTCTAGGGTGAAAGTGGCCCAATTCATAGGTAAATTGACGGGTTTGATATCTAGGTACGTCGATAGTCGTTAGTAAATTAGAAGACGTCGCTTTAATGATGATGTAATAACAAAAGTTGATATTTTAGGTGTCAATATTGGTAAAAAATAATTAAGGGAACAATCTCAACTTTGATTAACCTACCACAAATCTATAATGTCTTGGTGAGCCAACCATAGAAAAAATTTAAAATTTTGTTTATATATATGTATTTTAAATTTGTCCAATTGTTCTGTAAATATGCCCAGAAGGCGACGAAAGTAGGCATCTCACAAAATGTCATTAAATTCGTGAATAGAATCTTTATAAAGCTATTTTTGCATCAAATTTGCAGAATGTTTATTGCATAGTTTTAATTAGAAAATGCAATAGAAAATTTCATACAAACGAGAAAATAATTCAAAAAAATGTATTAGAAAATTATGTAGAAACGAGAAAATAATTTTTGTAATAAATGTTCGATGATAACTATAGTTACTCAACCAAATAAAGTAAGTAATAAGATCAATACCCAACAAGTAACCCACCACGCAATGTACTATTTGATGCCACATGAGCACCCATGGGCTCTAACAACATGGCATGTGTGATAAGTTGAATTGAAAAGATATGTTTTCATGTCAATCAAAATATCAAGATGTTATTCACATTTGAAATTTTTTCAAGTTTTGCTGAACGATGTCTCAGAAAATTTCAAACTTATAAACAAAGTTTATTATCTACTCAGGATTCACATAACCATTTTAGCAACAACGCAATTTTTTTATGATTTAAAGTCATATTTTGAACAAAAAATGCTATTTGTACTTCACTCTTTTCACACTCCTCTCACAAAGATGGGGTCTATGATTATTTTAATCGTGGATTCCACCCACTTGCATGCGTGTGTGTTGTGAAAAAAGGTGTGAAAAATAGTGTACGTGTAGAATGATTGTATTTTGAATAATATTCACATGGTCGTGTCCAATACATATCAAAACGCATTAATGTCTCTATCGAAAGTCTATTTTAATGGCCAAGACAAACCCGAGCAGGAGCTTTGTTCGTCAGTACACCTCAATCCATAACTATTCTTATGAGTTACGAAAATGCGTATACTTTTTATATATTACATCATTTCTTATTAGGCTGTGTTTGATAGCTATTTATTTTTCATGTAACTTGGAAAATTAATTTCATCTTCCACTTTTTCATTTTTTGATAGCCTTTTTTTTCCCTCTAGAATTCATTTTCCACATTTCTTGCCACCTAAACCATTTTCCACTTTTTCCGTGAGAATTCTAATTTCCAGCTACTGTAGAGTTTTTTCTTTTTCAATATATTTTTTTTTTTGCAATGAAAATAAATTTTAAGAATTATTGTAAAAAAATATTTTCCTTTACTTGACAATTTTCGTGTAAAACAAAGTCAAACGAACACTAAAAGATAGATTTTTTTTTTTTTTGCAATGAAAACAAATTTCATCCCCAATACCAATAAAATATATCCCTTTAATTGACAATTTTCATACAAAGTCAAACAAACACAAAAAAAACTTTTATTTCAATATTTTTCACGTGAAAAATTATATCAATCAAACACAATAAATTACAATTCCCAGGAAAATAATTTCTAAATAATTCAATTCCCTAAAATTCGTTTTCAATTCCATCTTTGCAATCAAATATATCGTCGGTGAATTGGAATTGGAATTGGTAAACGTAAAAGTGTAAGGTATCGAGGTGTAAGAAAATATGCTGATGCTGACATCTTATTAAGTGTCAAAACTATATTGGAGGACAACAAATCTAACCTTCCCCACCCTTTTTTTTTTTTTTTTTTTTTTTTTTTTTTAGTAAGAAAATATGCTGATGCTGACATCTTATTTGTTAAGTGTCAAAACTATATTGGAGGACAACAAATCTAACCTTCCCCCCCCCCTTTTTTTTTTTTTCTTTCTTTTTTAAGAATTTCACAATCAAAGCAATCTAAATATTAGAATATTGATATAAAAGTTTGAACTTTCTAACATGAATCTATACATAAAATGAAAGAACGTTCAGTGAGTTGGTCGGCCTATTTTGTGAAAGCTACACAAATGTTGGCAATTAAAGAGCGAAAAATTAAATTGTGGGGGGGAATAAAAAAATTAAAAAGGAAATAAACAAGTCAAAAATAAAAGTAACAAGAAGAGAACATTCTCAGCATTAAGATTATTTTCATCATCACACGTTAGATAATGGTTCAAAAGTATGAATTTGAGATCGACCCACACACATTTTTAATTGATAATATAATATAACCATAATCTATTTCCTTCATATTGACTATTAAAGGGCCTTAAGCCATCAAAGAGTCGCAGATATTTTATATACTAATTAAATTTTTTAAAAGAGTTATCAGGTAAGAAGAGAATGAAATCTTTCTGAGCCCCTTTCACGAGTTCAGAGTCAAGATCCGTGCTGCCTTCGCTTTGAGACTTGGATCCTTCGCTGGTTAAATTCTCTCTGATCAAACTCTTTGAGGAGGTATACAAACCTTTTATAGGATCAAATATAGTAATTTTGACATTTATTAATCGATAAAAACAAAAATAATATAAAATAAAGGGATATGATAGTAAATATCACATAAATTTACACAAGTTGGCACATATATTTGGGCTCCATTTTAGAAAAATACATTTTTTTCTTTCTTTTTTTTTTAATTTCACATTTTCCAATATAATAATATTACACGTAAATATATATATATATATATTATTTTTTAACTACATATTTTTCAAAAAAAATTATTATTCCAAAATACATTTTCTCCAAAATCAAATAGGACATTAAGAAAATAACGATTTGCGATATTTAGCCCCTGTTTAATGCCATTATTTAGAAAAAAAAAATGAGCTTTGCAATAGTTAATTTTTGGATAATGTATGATTAAAAAGTAAGAAAAATATTGGATTTACGTATAAAATATATTATTTTGAGAATGTGAGTTGAAAATGAGTTTGAAAAAAGTGAGTTTTGAAATAATGAGAATCGAGCAAGAGCTTAATAGCAGTAAATTGCTAAAAACTCTTAGAACATGTATGATGCACGATGAAATAGATTGAACTATAAAATAGTTACATTTGATAAAAATTGGACTAGTTCCCAATGTTATATTTTTCGATCTCAAGCCATCAACCTACATGATGTGATCTATGAAATAGGGTTGTGATTAGATTGAGGTAGGGGCAGATGACTAGCCCAGCCCCAACCCATAAGCAAATTGGTATGTGAAAAATGAAAATTTTAGTCCAAATTCATGGTAAAATCAAAAGGAATTCAAATTTAAACCAATTCAAAAAATTAATTTTAACCCAACTAACGTCACTTTCAACCCAATACCAATGTTCAATTATTTTAGTTTAAGATTCTACAATAATTACATATTTAATTTATTTACATCCATGATACACAAATAACTCGTTATCAAATTAGGTATTTTATTGCATATATATATTACTAAGTTTTACTAAGTTTAAAAAGTTCACTTATAATCAAATTAATTTATTATATAACAAATAATTTTTATTGATTAAAGTAAAGATAAATGACACATCACATCTTTGACCAAGCTTAAAAGTAATTAATTTTTTTCCTTACATATTTTTGCATATATTACTTATTTATACTTGTGAATTAAAATTTTATTTATTTCAATCGTGAAATAGATATTATTATCAAAATAAGTAATATGCTCTATACTTAATTTTATTAGTAAAAAATATATTTCTTAGAATTTTATCATGAGTGTTTGAAAATATGGTCTAACCCACTTTGTCACGAACATAATGAGTTTAACCTTTTAAACTAAATATCGTGGGCATAAAACATTTTTTATGGTATGAGCTTATTTAAAAAACAATAAATTAAATTTCAGCTCACTCTAACAAATTTTTCTGGCTCCGCCCCTGAATCAAGGTCAATGGCAATTCTTCTTAATCACCTTATTGTGAAAATTATCTTGACCCAACAAATAGTTGCGTAGTTTGTATCAAAGGAAGATATGATCATGTACTAATTATCACGCAAGAGTGTGAAATGATAGAGCTTTTCAACCGATCTTGCAAGAAATCGAATTCACTCAGACGACTTTAGGTCCATCAATTTTTGAAGTATCAATCAGTACAATGTACCTCAATGAACAAGCAAATAAATATATAAACTTGCAATATTTATATCAGTTCTGCTATGTGTACAGAAAAAGTGTTGCCAGCATCTCTACAGAACATATCTGACCATTTTCTATTGGAGAATGAAAAAAAAAAAAATTAAAAAGACTGGCCAAACGGCAACATCTAGAAAAATTATGGTGGCAATTCCTCTATACAAGGGGAATTGCTGTATTTCTACAATGTAGTCTGTAGAGGATAGTGGGTATATAACGCGTTTCAATAAAAATGGCAACTAGACTATAAAGTTGTATCCTTGTATATCTATTGGCTAAAAATTTCAGATTTGGCTTGGTTGAGCTCCATTTTTTCAAAAATTTATTTTTAACCACACATTTTTCAATAAAATAAATTTGATGCTTAAATCAAAATTTTTTCTTACTTTTTAACCACACATTCTTAAAAAAATACTTCTTCAAAATACATTGTTGAAGATTTGTTGTTCAAAATCAATAATTAACGTGTATGGAATGAAAAATTGGGAGTTAGGCTAAAATTGTGCCCAAGATGCTACCATGCAACCGCATGATTATATTGCCATGCGGTCGCATGGCCATATACCGAGGCCAAAGGGCCTCGGTTGGCTTGAACCATGCGACTGCATGGATTTGTACCATGCAGTCGCATGGTACAATCTTTTTGACCGTTGGAAGCCATTTTCTCCCGTTGTAAATTTAAATTTGGTGACTTTTGGCTTATAGTTGGTACCATCTCGTGAATGTGGTGTATGCCTATATATATTGGATCCCTGTTGAAGGCAAACACATCATCAAAACATTAAGGTTCTATATTACTTCCAAAATCAAATATCAAAGTCTTTTAAAAGTCATATTCAATATTCATCCCTTGTGTTCTTCAAGTTTTCTAGGATTTGCACTTGTATTTTGGTGCTTAAATCCTTGCAGTGCTTGTTATAATCCTACAAACCATTTACCAACATGTTCCCTCCAAATTGGGGCTCAAACAATGGCAGACTTGAATATAACTTTATTAGAATTTTAATTAAAACCCAGATAAATATTTTACCAAACTCAAATGAATTGAGTTTACCCCTCTTATAAGCAGTTATAAACAAGAGTTTGGACACAGGCAAACGCTACTAGTTCATAAATTAATATATGTATATATATTGTATGGTACATTGCATGGGAATTTTAGTCGCTCGATTTTTTCAGCTACAAACATATCATTGAAATTTTAATTTCATTTCATTTTAGTATCAATAATAATGCCGTCACAACATTTAATATCCTCTTCTAGGGGAGATGTAATTTCTTTTAAGAACTTCTATTGATAATAATTTGTCAAGTTGTCAGGATAACGATATAAACTCGCGCATTTAACATCAAATATATGACGTTAAAATATTGTCACACATCGATTTTTTTCTTTTGAAATCATAGTTGATCTAAATATTTAGACAAAAGTTTTTACAAATGCTGTTATACTGTCAGGGAAGGTTAGACAGCACACTCGAAATAGGGGAGCACTTTTTTGAAATTTTTTATTCACGTGAGTTTCACGTGCATGTGGGTAGGGATGGCAAAAAAAAAAACTCGTTTAACCCGATACCCGTGGAGCCTAACTGGGTACATGAGATGGGTATGGGGCGAGGATTATTGCCCTTAAGCAGGTATAGGACGGGTACGGGAAACATAATCCCCACTCCATTACCCACCCCGTTTAATATTGATTTCAAATTTAAGTTTTTATCAAATTTAAGTTTTTATCAAACAAAAATAATAAATTTATCATCCTTTTTAATGAGGACATAAGTTGTTTTTAACAAATTGGTTAAAAATGTAATACTATTTACTAACTAAGGACATAAAAAAATAAAAAGAAAAAGAAAAAGAAAAAATAAATGGGGCGATAAATGGGGCAAAAGACTTGCCCCGTCCCACCCCGATCCTGCCAAGAACCGTCCCGTCTCGTTTTAATTAAGGATGGGGTAAGATAATAAAAATATCCGACGAGATGAGAATGGTCGATTCGTTCAATATCCGTCCCGTTGCGATCCCTACATGTGGGTGTAGGTCAACTAGCTTGTTAAGCTCTTTAATGTTCCTACCCAACCTTAGTTGGAGAATTTGACACCATCCCTTACATGTAGAATAGTAATTTAATATGGTATGGTGAGAAGAACATTGTCCTTACCTCATCAATTACAAGAAGAAGAGGAAATAGAGTTTTTGGAATGAACCCAAATATGGGGTGGGGGGTAATATTCATTACAACCTGTACAATTTAGGAAAATGTTATGTGTACACATAAACATTACACCTCCTCACATAAAAGGGGGGCTCACACACAATAAAATATTTGTGGGCCCCTCAATTTTGGAGGGATATAATGCATTGTACATCTTATGGTGTACATATAGTATTTCTCTACAATTTAATAGCAGCCGCCAAAGTCACGATAAAACCTTAGTTGGGTTACTAAATCTCAAATTTTCTCAATTGTGTCGTTGAACTTCAATTTAATTAGTTCACACACACATACAATGAAAAATGATCTTCTACATAATCAATTCGTGACATGTCAACTAACCACTACACCACGTTACAAAAGTATTAAAAAAAAAAAGGCATTTGTCAACTAGGCAATTTTCATCAATTCGATGACAATAAGTGACTGGAAAGTGATGGAGTGAATTTGAAACAAAATTGAAGTCGCAATTGAATTTTCACTAAAAATTGCAAAAGAAATTAACCCTATCACAAACACAAACACAAACACAAGTCATCCACACAAATGTCTAATGTTTGTTAGGTTTATTCAGAAACAACGGTCAAATATGAAGAAGAAGCCAAAATAATAATAATAATAATAATGAAAAAACTCCCACGCGTATCAGCAAAGATCTTCTACATAATCAATTCGTGACATGTCAACTAACCACTACACCACGTTACAAAAGTATTAAAAAAAAAAAAAGGCATTTGTCAACTAGGCAATTTTCATCAATTCGATGACAACAAGTGACTGGAAAGTGATGGAGTGAATTTGAAACAAAATTGAAGTCGCAATTGAATTTTCACTAAAAATTGCAAAAGAAATTAACCCTATCACAAACACAAACACAAACACAAGTCATCCACACAAATGTCTAATGTTTGTTAGGTTTATTCAGAAACAACGGTCAAATATGAAGAAGAAGCCAAAATAATAATAATAATAATAATGAAAAAACTCCCACGCGTATCAGCAAAGTTGTCCTCAATTTTGTCAAATCATACTTAATCATCTATAAATATTAAAATCCAATAATCAAACCACTTAAAGTTGCAAAACCACAAATTAAGCAATCCTGTACGGTCCCCCATCTTTATTACCCTCTCAACTCAGAACCCACCCGATTTTGCACTCTCCTGTCTGAATCTTGCAACAGCACCAGTTTTTCTCCATCTCTTTATTGTTAAGGGCCTTTCATTTTTTACTTTTCCTTCGAACTTCTGGCACAATAAATAAGAAAGAGTTTTTTTAGAGATGCAAATCTGATTTTCTTGAATTGGCTCTTGGAAAAATTGAGTCTTGATAAAACCCATTTGCTGTAATTTTAATTTAATAATTCTTTTGCCCTCCTTCTCTAAAACTCTATATAACTATTGGCTTTATGTGTGTTTTGGATCTGAAGAAAGTTGAAGCTGCGACATCTATTCATTGCATGGGGAAAATTTAACTTCATAGGTTTGAATTTTTTACTCTTCAAACTTCGCTTTATTCGTATACTTTCAATCTGTAGCTCTTTTCAAAAAAAAAAAAAAAAAAAAGGACCAAAAAAAAAAAAAAAAAAAAAAAAAAAAAAAACTTCTCCTGGACTAATATAACAAATTGTGGCAAAAGAAATGCCAAGGTGGAGAAGAATTCTAGAAACAGCCACAGTCAGGGACCAGCTTCAATAACAAGATAAACAGATGAGAATGATTTTTTTTATTTTTAACTTTTTTTTTTG